TCCTGTTATCTGCCCAACATCCCAAGACTGTAAAAGTACTTGTTCACTGAAAGGGTGTAAGTATAAACGTTTATTTGATGTTTGTATGTCTACTTGGGTCATGTAAGTGTGGAAGTCTGTGGGAAAAAAAAGGGGCACACGCTTGATTTCTTTAAGGCTGAGTGCTCTGACCGAAAGCAAAGCGCCCCAAGCGGCTTTCCCCAAGAGCGCTTGCTCTGTCAGAGGTGGAATTGGCCAGCCTAACTAGTAAACATCTCTGTATTGAGTGCTGGGTTGGGATTTTTGAATTCTGGGGTAGATTTAAAAGGTATTTGTGGCTTTTCTAGTCTGATTGGGACATTTAAGGGTGGGGCTCATAGTTCCTCAGGGCAGAGATTTCATGGGCCCTTCCCCCTGCCTGTGCTGAATTCCTTAGAATCTGTAAAGGTGGGCGGGAATGAAGCTGGTCAAATGTACTGAAAGGGTTTGGTACCTGCTGCTGCTAGCAAAGGAGAGGCTGATACCCACTTCTAGTGCACTCCCTTGAAAGAGGCCTGGTTGCTGCTCTGCCACAAAGGGAACTGGTAGAAAGGCAAGAAAGCAGAGCGCTGTAACTAATAAACAGGGTTACCTAAAAGCCATCAGGACTTTGAAGTTCTCCAAGAGAGGAGGAATCAGCCGAAACCAGTTTGGCTTAGTGGATAGAGCATCGGCTTGCGGACTGAAAGGTCCCGGGTTCGATTCCGGTCAGGGGCATGTGCCTGGGTTGTGGGCACTTCCCCAGTGGGCGATGTGCAGGAGGCGGCTAATCGATGTTTCTCTCTCATCGATGTTTCTAACTATCTCTCTCTCTTCCTCTCTAAAATATCAATAAAATATATTAAAAAAAAGAGAGAGAGAGAGGGGAGGAATCTGACTCGGAGACTGGCGGGGACTGGGTGGCTTTTCTTTAACAATCTCTTTCCTTGAGAGGGCTCCAGAGGGTGCACGAGGGCATTTGGCCGCGCCTCCGCGCCATCTACGAGACCAGCCCAACCCCAACTCCTCATCAGCACAGACCAGATTTGGTCTACATCAGAAGGCACCGCCGGGAGACCCTAGAGCCACGTTGGAAGGGTCCCTACACTGTGGTCCTGATGATCCCCACCGCTCTCAAGGTAGACGGCGTTGTGACCTGGGTCCATTACACTCACGTCCAGTCAGCGGTCCCATCCGTGCACCAAATGGAGCATCGATCAAGATCAATGCAACCCGCTCAAGCTCAAGCTACGGCGTGCTCAACCTGCCTGATGCTGGTAACATGACTCGCGATCACTCCTGTCACCAGGAGCCCCCACAATACTGTGTAAAACACTTAGATAATGCCTACATCTTCATGGACATGGCTCCAAAGAGACAAGGACAATTTATAGGATCACATGTTTAGTAGCAGAAGATTTGGCTGCCTGAAGTGGCAATGATGCCAATATTATGTTTCATTGTATTGATATGTTATATTGACCTTTGATTCTCTTGCAGGTTTGAATGTATGTTGGTTATCCTGAAAGGGGACTGTGTGGGGTGAACCCCAAAAGTAAAAGGTGTCTAGCTGCCAAGAGGGCAGGTGCCCAATTGGGCAGGGAAGGGTGCCCATCAGGTTTTGGTCTCTGTTGAGAGACAGTTAACGGTTGGCAGCCTGTAATACTGTCTTGCAGGCCTGAGTCACCATGCCCATGTCAGGGGTAATAAAGCTGGAAAAATCCTGTTTAGAATAGAAGGTCTGAGGCATGGTTATGCATAGAAAGAAGGTTTTATGGCAACAGTTACTGTTTTGTTTTAAATCCATGAAAAGGAATTAGCAAGGAAAGTCAGAAAATCTTAGAGTAGATCAGTATGTTTTTACAGCTGTTGTCTGAGCTCTCCGTTCAAGCTGGGTTCATGAAAAGCTGGTACCATGGATCTGTCTCTTGCCCAATGGCGTAAGCTTGGCCCTCTGTGGAGAAGAAACCTGGGTTTCCCAAGATATGTGATCAATGCAGGGACCCGCCAGCAGGCGAGGGGAACCCAAGGCAGGTGCTGGGCGTGGAGGCCACAGGGGCATAGGCTAACAAGGAGACAGAACTGAACCCCACATCACCCTACTTGGCCCAGAGATGGCTGGTAGTCAAAGACGGGTAAGACCTCACAGGGTGGGGCAACCTAAGACAGGCACAGCCGGGGGCCAGTAAGAGAGAACTTGGGGTTCAACAGAGGTGGGGCACAGATCCTCACCCCCCCAATGGTGCAGGGGCTTGAACACTCGCCCCTTCTGAGGAAGGTCTCCTGTCCCCATGGCTGCTTCTTGCTTCCCATGCCCAGCCCAGACCAGGAACCAAATAACAGAAGAGACTTGGTCCAGCTGAAAATGATACCCAGAAAAATGAAGGAACAGACTCTAAATTTAAACCTAGCCTAACAAACAGGAATGCTTAGGCCTCCTCAAGGCAAATACTATTAGATAAACTAAACTTGATTTGGCTTTTTGATAGCCATGGAGGAATTTTAAGAAGAAAAATCCTATTTCAATAGAAGTTGTTAAATCTAAAATGGTTTCTTTCCCTTCCACTGGACCATTTGTTAAGCGTATAGGAATAGTTCAGTTGATAGTTCTGTGTGCCCAGTACGGGCCTCTAGCAACGGTGAAATAGAAATGCAGTCCATCTCATGATTGAGCCGGAAGTTCCAAGACAAAGGGGGGAATGAAAGGGCGAGGACTACGCCCTCCACCTTGCCCCAGGGTAAGGGCTATGCCCTCCATCTTACTTTGGCCATGTGCTCAGCAAGGCTTCTTCCCAGAAGCCAAGCCTCTGCTAGCCACACCCAAGACTTCTTTAAACTAACCAATGACAATCAAGGAAAGTCGCCATAGATATGACCACATCCTGTGTAACAAGACACCGACTTGCGCCTGGCCAATCGGCAGGGCCCACAGTCCTTTCTCCTCCCCTTACCCCAACCCCCTATAAAACCTCTCTCCACACAGAGTTCTCTCTCTCTCGGCCACTTGGCTTGCCGTTGTGTTGGTGAGTGTGGTGGATGGGGAGCTCAAAAGCTAGCTTGAAATGAAGGACTCTTTGCTTTTGCATCGGACTCGCTGGCTCCCTGGTGGGCCCTTGGGAATCTTGAAATCAGTTACACACATGGGCCTTTATGATTTAGTTTTTAACGCTGGCAAAACATTATTTAGATGAATTACATAAGTGATTTTAACAATGATTAATGTGAAAATAAACAATGACTTACACTTTTTGTTAAAGGTTAATGTATTTAAAATAAAAAATGCTTTACCTTGTGATTATGGTGTTATTTCCTCAATTACATTTTTTAATAAAGCAATTCTTGACATTTTTTCTCCTGAAAGCCAAAAACAGTACAGTGCTTTTTGTTTTGTCAGCTTTTTCTTATAGACTACAGCAGTGATGGCAAACCTATGACACGCGAGTCAGAGGTGACACCCGAACTCATTTTTTTGGTTGGTTTTTCTTTCTTAAATGGCATTTAAATATATAAAATAAATATCAAAAATATAAATCTTTGATTTACTATGGTTGCAAATATCAAAAAATTTCTATATGTGACACGGCACCAGAGTTAAGTTAGGGTTTTTCAAAATGCTGACACGCCAAGCTCAAAAGGTTCGCCATCACTGTCCTAAGCCTTAGGAGTACCCTAATTAAGTTAATAACAATGTACCTACTTATATAGTTTACCTTTAAAAAATTTGGCTCTCAAAAGAAACTTCAATCGTTGTCCTGTTGATATTTGACTCTGCTGACTAATGAGTTTGCTGACCACCGCCCTAGGCGTCCAGGCTAAGCCAACTCCACCCTGATGCAAGGGTATTCAATGATGGTGATCCTTGGTTTGATGTAAGCCCATCTCAACATTCCACCCAGGGGAAAGCAGGTGATTTCAGTCACATACTTGGAATTCTCGCTCTCCCGCTAAACAGGAACAAAGCAGCATGAAGCCCAATTACTCCAACAGCCACCTCCTTCTGGTATCACCAATGGCAGAGCAGACAGAGGGCAGATGGCAGTGTCATCACTGAGCAAAAGCAGAGACATCAAAACAGCTCTGGTTGGTTGTTCAGTGGTTAGAGCCTTGGCCACCGGCGAAGGGTCCTGAGTTCCATTCTCGGTCAAGGGCGTGTGCCTGGGTTGCAGTTCCATCCCTTGCCTCTGTCAGGGGTGCCTGCGGGAGGCAACCCATGGACATTTCTCTCTCACAGTGGTGTTTCTCTCCCTCCTCCCCCTTCCTCGCTCCCACTTACTCTGAAAACCAATGGGGAAAAAATATCCTCCGGTGAGGATTAATAGAAAGAAAAAGAGCGAAAGAGCGAGAGAGGGAGAGAGCGAGAGAGCGAGAGAAGGAAGGAAGGAAGGAAGGAAGGAAGGAGGGAAGGAAGGAAGGAAGGAAGGAAGGAAGGAAGGAAGGAAGGAAGGAAGAAAGAAAGAAAGAAAGAAAGAAAGAAAGAAAGAAAGAAAGAAAGAAAGAAAGAAAGAAAGAAAGAAGAAAGAAAGAAAGAAAGAAAGAAAGAAAACACACTGAAGGATTCATTCCCATAAACTGCGGCCAGAAAAAAAACAAACACGTTTTGTGGGAGCCAGGGTAGAGTGCCTCCGGAAAGGGGGGCTGAAAGTGGCCGCTGCGGTGGTGGCCTTGGTGCTCCTGGATCTCAACGCTTGGTTATGCGGGTATGTTCGGGGGTGGGGGTGGGGGGGTGGGGGGGTGTGTGGAAATTTATGGAACTGATCTGAGCGTGTTTTAGAATCCAAGAAGAGTTTTTCTTTTTTTAGTTACCCTCTCCGGTAGGAGGGGCTGGAATTCTTGGAATTCTGCCTCAACTCATTCAGTGCTGGCTTCACCAGGAATCTACTGCCCAGCAACTTCCACAGGTGAGGGTGGCTGGAACTGAGAAGCATCCGCCGGGTGGGGCGCCACGCCCGGACCTCAAGGCGCCCCTGCGCCCCCCGTCCCGCCCCGCCCCCCGGAGCAGGAGAGCCGCCGGTGCTTTTAGCTCGGAGGAGTCGAGTCCCCGGCCCGCGGTCCCCGGCTCTGAAGAGACCAGACTTCCCCGCAGATGACCGAGCCGCCCGCCGCCCCTGGAGCCTGAGAGCTGATCCCGTCCGACCTCCCGGCGCGCTCCCGCCGGCTGCAACGGGGTTCCGGCCCGGCCTGCGCGTCCCCGCTCGCCGTCCGGACAGCGCAGCGCGCGGCCAGAATGGCGGCGACGGCGACGGTGATGGTGACGGTGACGGTGGAGCCCGCGGGTCGCTGCCGCTGGGACGAGCCCGTGCGAATCGTGGTGCGCGGCCTGGCGCCGGAGCAGCGGGTCACGCTGAGATCGTCCCTGCGCGACGAGAGGGACGTGCTCTTCCGGGCCCACGCGCGCTACCGCGCCGACGCTGGCGGCGAGCTGGACCTGGCGCGCGCGCCCGCGCTGGGCGGCAGCTTCGCGGGGCTGGAGCCCATGGGGCTCTTCTGGGCGATGGAGCCTGAGAAGCCTTTTTGGCGGTTTGTGAAGCGGGACGTGCAGACGCCCTTCGCCGTGGAGCTGCAGGTGCTCGATGGCCACGAGCCTGACGGAGGGCGGCTCCTCGGCCGGACGGTGCACGTGCGCGACTTCCTCGCCCCCGGGGTGCGGCGGCAGCCGGTGCGCGCGGGCCGGGTGCGCGCCACGCTCTTCCTGCCGCCAGGTGAGCCCGGGTTGCAGCGGAGATGCGCCAGCAGGTGCGCTTGGCCCTTAGTGGTTGCTGTACTGCGTTAGGAGAGTTTGGCATTTGACTAAATAAGTGGCCGCACAACCAAAACAAGAATGTTTTGATGTTAGGCTCTGAGCTATGTACTTCGTTTGCATAATCTCATTTAATTTATATGATATCCCAATGAGGTGGGTACTGTTATGCAGATTAAAAAAAAAAAAAAAGCCGGATCAGGGTCGGTAGGTATGTTGTCCACTTTGCTATGAACTCCTCTACAGGTCTCTCAGCATCAGCCGTACAGGTCTCCGCAAAATGATGGTCAAGGAAGCTATTGCCATGTCACCCTTCCCTAGTGGCCTGGGTACACTGGACCTCGCCTCCGTTTCACATTCCTCTCTACCACAGAGCACACTTCAGACTTTCCTGCCTTCTTCGCCTAAAATCATCTCTAGGTATTTCTTTCCTCGATCTAAATAGACAGCTGAAATATGAATGCACAACAAAAAAAGCCAAGGGTTGATGCAATACAACACAAAATTTTGTTTAAAGATTCTTTTTTTAAAAAAAAATTTTTTTAAATATATATTTTATTAATTTTTTTTACAGAGCGAAAGGGAGAGGAATAGAGAGTTAGAAACATCGATGAGAGAAAAACATCGATCAGCTGCCTACTGCACACTCCCTACTGGGATGTGCCCGCAACCAAGGTACATGCCCTTGACCGGAATTGAACCTGGGACCTTTCAGTCGTAGGCCGACGCTCTATCCATTGAGCCAAACCGGTTAGGGCTAAAAAAAATCTTTTTATTGATTTCAGAGAGAGGAAGGGAGAGGGAGAGATAGAAACATCAATGATGAGAATCATTGATTGGCTGCCTCCTGCTGGATCCCCAGGAATTGAGCCTGCAACCCAGGCATGTGCCCTTAGATTCTTGATTCTATGTCTACTTCTCTTGCAGATAATTTATCATAGAATCATATGAAGGGTAAAATCATCAATGAGAAGGTACCCTGTGGGTTTTCCTTCCCCTAAGGACCTTCCTTTCCTTTTCAGTAGTGATTCAGGGAGCTGTTTTCTTCCCTTTGGTTCACATGAACTCACTAAATAATTTAGAAAGATGCCTAAAAGGAAAGCAAAATAATACAATACTACAATAAATAATACAATACCTTCCTTTTATAATATTCCCTTCTCTAGGACCTGGACCTTTCCCCGGGATCATTGATCTCTTTGGTGTTGGAGGGGGCCTGTTGGAATATCGAGCCAGCCTTCTGGCTGGCCATGGCTTTGCCACAATGGCTCTAGCTTATTACGGCTTTGAAGATCTCCCCAAGGAATTCGACAGCAGAAATACGGACTACTTTGAAGAAGCCCTGTGCTACATGCTTCAACATTCTCAGGTTCTCCTAATGTTCTTTATTGTATCATTCTCTCTCCACATATCTCCAGAAGGTATCACTTTGCACGCATTTGTGCCAGTGATACTCTTCTGATGGTGCTCTACTCTTCTTTCACAGAGATTTCTTTTGGAGACTCCTTGACTTTATGTGCCTAGTTCCACTTTCTCTGTCAGATGGAGTCACAATGCAGAATTAACCATAAAATACATGTGAGATTTTATTTAAAGGAATTATTTAGTAATATTAAAATTCCTATTGTTATGGAGCTTCTGATTTGTTAGTTTTGCATACTTGTTTTTTAATCTTTTTCTGACAACAGAGTATGTTCTCAGATTTTGATCAGAATTTGCCCACCCATTTCAGAAACTAAGAACTACTGAAATCTCACTTTGTTTGTATAAAGTTAATCATTTACTGACATATTTTGATGGGGTCTGATAAATGATTCACTTCTTGAAACAGAACTTGGTTCCACGCAGTTAGATACCCAGGCATGTTGAGACATTGGCCATGCCCACCTAAACTTGACAGGCTCCATGACTCAGCATTCTCTAATGGACAATCGATTCTCTGGAATGTGTGTAACCAATTCCCAAACTTGCCAGTGAGTTAAAGATGTGTTTGCTGTGTGTCCAGCCAGATATTCTTTTTTTTTTTTTTAATATATTTTATTGATTTTTTACAGAGAGGAAGGGAGAGTGATAGAGAGTTAGAAACATCGATGAGAGAGAAACATCGATCAGCTGCCTCCTGCACATTTCCTACTGGGGATGTGCGCACAACCAAGGCACATGCCCTTGACCGGAATTGAACCTGGGACCCTTGAGTCCGCAGGCCAACGCTCTATCCACTGAGCCAAACCAGTTAGGGCCAGATATTCTTTATTATGTGGGAAGAAACTCCTATCAGCTTAGTTTGATTCTCTTGTGCCCAGTTCACATATTACATCTAGCGGCACATCTAGTTGCATTTAGAAAAACATTTTTCTATTGGGTAGGTTCTTGACTCTTGACTCTTCTCCCTTCTTTTCTTCCAGGTAAAAGGCCCAGGCATTGGCCTTCTGGGCATTTCTTTAGGGGCTGATATTTGTCTCTCCATGGCCTCATTTTTGAAGAACATCTCAGCTACAGTTTCCATCAATGGATCTGGGTTCAGTGGAAGCAAAGCCATATGCTACAAGGATACTTGCATCCCACCACTGGGCCATGACCTGAGGAGAATCAAGACACATTTTTCAGGCCTCCTGGACATTGTGGATATACGGAATGATATTGTAGGAGGGTGTGAAAACCCCAGCATGATTCCAATAGAGAAGGCCCAGGGGCCTATCCTCTTCATCGCTGGTCAGGACGACCATAACTGGAGGAGTGAGTTATATGCCCAAATAGCCTCTGAACGGCTACAGACCCATGGGAGGGGAAAACCTCAGATCATCGCCTACCCTGGCACTGGGCATTACATTGAGCCGCCTTACTTTCCCATGTGCCCAGCTTCCCTGCACAGATTACTGGAAAAGCCTGTGGTCTGGGGTGGGGAGCCCAGGGCTCATTCTAAGGCCCAGATAGATGCTTGGAAGCAAATTCTGGCCTTTTTCTGCACACATCTTGGAGGTACCCAGAAAGGAGCTTCCCCCAAATTGTAATGCATTGGTTTGTTGTTGACATGAGAGATACAAGTCCAAGTCTAGTGTTTAATAATCATACGGGAATAAATTGTTCCCTGAATCATATTAACTTCATGTCATTGGTATTAATGTTATATTTTGGGTAACTTTTTTGAATGTTATTTTTTCACTAATTTTACTAATGTAGCACATGCCTATTGTAGAAGATTCAATTAAAGATATACAACAAAGCCCTCCTAGCCGGTTTGGCTCAGTGGTTCAATTCTGGTCAAGGGTATGTACCTTAGTGGCAGGCTCCTCCCCGGTACTGTAATAATATTAAACAATAATAAACATACTATATATGTTATATATGTGAGATCATATAATATTTGTCTTTCTCTGACTTATTTCACTTGCATAATACTCTCTAAGTCCATCTATGCTGTCGCAAAAGGTAAGATTTCATTCTTTTTTATGGCTGAGTAATATTCCATTGTATATATGTACCACAGCTTTCTAATCCACTCCTCTGCTGATGGACACTTCGGTTGCTTCTATATCTTGGCTATTGTAAGTAATGCTGCAATGAACAAAGGGTGCATATATTCTTTCGAATTAGTGTTTGGCTTTCTTCAGCTATATACCCAAAGGTGGAATCAAGAAGTGTTGACAGCCCTAGCTGGTTTGGCTTAGTGGATAGAGTGTGGGCCCAGAGACTGAAGGGTTCTGGGTTTGATTCTGACCAAGGGCACATGCCAGGGTTGCGGTCTTGATTCCCAGTAGGGGGCATGCAAGAGGCAGCCGATCAATGATTCTCTCTCATCATCAATGTTTCTATCTCCCTCTCTTTTCCTCTTTGAAAGCAATAAAAATACATTTTTAAAAAAAGAATTGTTATTTTACCAGAATGATAAAAAAAATAATACAAACCATAAAATGAAGTAATTTTCTGAGACTGGTGAGTTGAGAGACAACTTAAAAGTCAGGTACCACTTCAGTGTATCATGTATATTAGAGGAGAGAATTTTTGTGATCTAACATTGTAGATATAGTACCTTATTATTAAACAATAATAAACATGCTTCCCTTCAGTGTTTTTCCATCTTTATTCACTATACCCTACAGGAAAAAATACATTTTACATCATGACCTAGGACATACACCCTTGTATGTATGCTTATTTTTTATTTTGTTTCGTGTGTTTTTTTCTTTTTTGTATGTATGTTTATAATCTAAATTATTAAATCACATAAAACACACCTTAATTCAAGACCATTCAAAACTTGGTATATAAACTACATAAACTAGAATCAGGAAACAATTCATTTCCATAGTTTATAATCTGTATTGCCTAAAGGCAATTATCTAAAATTATGAGTATAAATGAAATTAATATTACTACTGGAGACAATATATTACTCCACACAGCAAAATGCATTCAGGAGAAGCAAAAAAGACAGGTGATTCCTGATTACCAATTTTCTTCCTCTTTCTCTCCTATACCCATCAGTGAGACCTGATGATATTACTACTTCCTTCCTCAGACTGTCTCCTCCATACCTAAAGCAAAGCCATGCTTCAGTTTGGGCACTCTTTTTAACTCCTACCTGGTCTCACAGTTTAATCTTTTCCCAAATCATCTTCACTCTGATGCCAAAGTAATTTTTCTAAAATACAATTCTGATCATGTATGCTTATCTAATTAAAATCTCAATGATCTGCCTCCTGCTCCTCTTAGCCACATCTCTTACTGTTCCTCTTAAAACAGTACACTCTCAACATGTCAAACTTCTTGCCTTTACATAAGCTGTCCTTCTGTAAATCTCTCTCTGACCCACAACATGTGCTATTGACCATTCTGTCCCTGGTTCCCCAGTCTATGTTATATGTACCTGTGTATAGCAGCTACTATAACATGTTTGGACTTACCACTTATGGGTCAGTTTCCCCTCTACACTGTGAGATTCCTACAGATATAAAAGGTCTCATTTATTTTTTTAAATCCCTAGCATCTAGTACATAGTATCAATGTATTTGTCTCAAATTGATTTTTTTAAAGTATATTGTTAAGAGATTGAAAAGACAATCATAGACTGTGGGAAAATATCTCTGCAAAACACATATTTCATTAAGGACTGGTATCCAGAATACACAAATAACTTAAAACTCAACAACAGGAAAACAAACAACCCAATTAAAAAACAAGCACAAGTCTGAGTGGCATGGCTCAGTGGTGGAGTGTCGACCTAAGAACCAGGAGGTCAGGGCACATGGGTGGGTTGCGGGCTTGATCCTCACTGTAGGCTTGCAGGAGGTAGCCCATCAATGATTCTCTCTCATCCTTGATGTTTCTATCTCTCTCCCTTCCTCTCTGAAATAAATAAATATATTTTAAAAACAGGCATAAGATTGGACCCCTCATGGCAAATAAGGTCATGAAGCCCTAGTTGGTTGTTTAGTGGTTGTTTAGGCCTGTGGACTGAAGGGTCTGGGGTTCTATCTGGTCAAGGGAATGTACCTCAGTTGCAGGCTCCATCTCCAGCCCTGGTCAGGGTGTGTGCAGGAAGCAACCAATCGATGTGTCTCTCTCACATTAATGTTTCTCTCTCTGTCTCTCCTCCTCCCTTCTACTCTCTAAGGGCAACAGAAACTCATTCATTGTTAATAGGAACTCAAAATGGTATAACCACTTTGGAAGACAGTTTGGCATACTCTCACCATATAATCCAGCAATTGCATTTCTTTGTATTGACCCAAAGGAGTTGAAAATTCATGACCACACAAAGACCTGCACACAGATGTTTATAGCAGCTTTATTCATAATTGCCAAAACTTGGAAGCAACCAAGATAGCTTTTAATAGATCAACGAATAAACAAATGGAGGTACATCCATAAATTAAATATTATCCTATACAATAAAAGGCCAGCAGCCGTAACAGCATAACGACTACAACGACCGATCGACCAGTCGCTATGAGGTGCATTGACCACCTCTTGGTCCCTCCCCCCAGCCCACAGGCTCCAATCGCTGGATGATCAACGGGGAACCGGGGTGGGTGGTGGCAGGGCGGGACTGGGGACTGGCGAGCGGGCGGAAGATGGCCCTGGTCGCAGGCTAGGCCTAGGGACCCTACCCGCGCACCATTTTGTGCACTGGGCCTCTAGTTCATTAGTAAAAAGAAATGAGCTATCAAGCAGCAAAAAGACATGAAAGAAACTTAAGTGCATATTGCTAGCGAAAGAAGCCAATCCAAAAAGGCTATATACTATAGGATTCCAACTATGTGATATTCTGGAAAAGGCAAAACTGTGGAGACAGCAAAAAGATTAGTGGTTGCCAAAGACTTGGGGAGGAGGAAGGAAGGGAGGGAGGAATAGATGGAACATACAGGAATTTTGAGAGTGAAACTATTCTGTGTATACTGTAATGGTGTATATACATCATTACACATTTGTTAAAACTCATAGAATGTACAACACGAAGAGTGATCCCTAACATAAACTATGGACTCTAGTTAATGATAGTGTATCAATATTAGCTCATCAAATAACAAATTGTCACATTTATGCAAGATGTAAATGATGGGGGAAAGTATCTGTGTCTATGAGCGGGTTTGTGTGTGTGTGTGTGTGTGTGTGTGTGTGTGTGTGTGTGTGTGTGTGTGTTTGTTGTTTTGCTTCATCTCTTCACCTTTTTTACCAAGCTCCTAACCCCCTTCCTCTCTAACAGCTGTCAGTTTGTTTTCTGTATCTATGAGTCTATTTCTATTTTGTTTGTTTATTTTGTTCATTAGATTCCACATATAAGTGAAATTTTATGGTATTTGTCTTTCTCTGACTGGCTTATTTCACTTAGCTACCTGGCCAGGGCTGTTTCCACTTATTTGTATCTTTTTCAATTTCTTTCTTCAGTGTCTTATAATTTTCCAAGTACAGGTCTTTTATATTATTGGTTAAATTTATTCTAAGGGCCCTGACTGGGTAGCTCAGTTGATTAGAATATCGCCGTGGTATGCCAATGCTGCGGGTTCAACCTTCAATCAAGGAACATAAAAGAAGCAACTAAGAAATGCATAAATATGCAAAACAACAAATCTCTCCCTCCCTTCCTCTTTCTAAAGTCAATCAATAAAAAAAATTTATCCCATTGCATTTTTTCTGATAGTTCATTATTGGTGTATAAAAATGCATCTGGATATTTATTATGTCTCCTGATACTTTACTGAATTCATTTATCAGTTTAAATAGTTTTTTGGTGGAATCTTTAGGGTTCTATATATACTATATTATCATGTTATCTACAGTTATTGTGCTGGTGGCTGCAGCGGCCCCCGTAAATTTTTTGGAAGCAGTGTGTTTCTATATGGAGGACAGCCTGAAACACTTTTTATTTAAAATATATATATGGCCGAAACCGGTTTGGCTCAGTGGATAGAGCGTCGGCCTGCGGACTGGAGGGTCCCGGGTTCGGTTCCGGTCAAGGGCGTGTGCCTGGGTTGCGGGCATATCCCCAGTGGGAGATGTGCAGGAGGCAGCTGATCGGTGTTTCTCTCTCATCGATGTTTCTGACTCTCTATCTCTCTCCCTTCCTCTCTGTAAAAAATCAATAAAATATATTTTTTTAAAAAATAAATAAAATAAAATATATATATGTATATATATTATTTCAGAGAGTCAGGGAAAGGGAGAGAGACAGAAATATCAATGATGAGAATCATTGATCAGCTGCCTCCTGCACGCCCCCTATGGGGGATTGAGCCCTCAAACGGGGGCATGTGCCCTTGACCAGAATCAAAGCCGGGACCTTTCAGTCCTCAGGCTGATGCTCTATCCACAAAGACACACCAGCGTGGGCCAGCCTGAAACACTTTAAACAACAGGTGTTTAAAATATGTTGCAGGGAACAGCCGGGAAGAAGTCAATGGTGGTGGTGGGGGGGGGGGGGCGGGACACACATATGTAATACTTTCAACAATAAAGAATTTAAATTTAAAAAAATATGCTGCAGCAATTACTGAAGGAGGTGGACTGGGGAAAGCTCTCGGAACTCTGAGACTGGGGACCTCATCTGATATCTTTTTGTCCAGTTTATAAAATGTATTGAGCCTTCATTTGCTGGGCATCTTCCATGCGCTCCATCTACCGTTCTCCACCCTGCTTTATACCCACGTAGGCTGAGCTGTATGGTTAGGTTCAGCCAAAGAGCACAAGTGGCTACTTTGAAAACTCACAAGATACCCAAGGGCAAGAGGAGAGTGAGGTCACAGTTTTCATTCTCACCACTCCTGCCACCTCACCATGGGTGCCTGCCTCCCTCTATGCTACACCCATGGCAGGCAGCCCTCTTCCCTTGAGCCTTCAGACCCAAGG